CATCACCATCATCATTGTCGTTATTATCTTTGTGACCACCATTATCACCACCATCACCACCATCATCACCATCATCATCACCATCATCGTTATCACCATCATCATTGTCGTTATTATCTTTGTGACCACCATTATCATCACCATCACCACCATCGTTGTTATCATCATCACTGTTGCCTTCACCATTGTCATTATAACTCATCTGCATAGCACAATAAGTCCTGAAAAATGTTTGACCATTCCCAACCATAGTACCTGCCATATGCAAAACAATGGCCTCTAGACAAAGCAGGCCCCAGTTCTAACCCCAGGCTCTTGGGCTCCCAGGGAACCCTAGGGGTTATCCAATCATATCCTCTCAACCCAAGTTGCCAGTCTGAGAGGCAATGTGACCCATAGGAAAGAGCCCTGGGTCCCGGGTTTGAACCCCAGCTCTGCTACTTACTGCCTGTGTGACCATGGGCAAGTCAATCCCCATGTCCAGGCCTCAGTCTCCCCGTTAATGAAGAGATTGGATTAAATGTTCTCTTAGGTCCCTTACGGCTTTAACCCTATGGCCCTCTATGCTTTCGCTAGTGATTTCCAAACTTCCCTTTGGAGGCATCTCTCAAGGCTCTAGTCAGGAATTTCTCCCTAATGTTTATCCTAAACCCTCCATGCTCCATTACAGAGGCCATTGCCTCTCATTCTATTTCCGGTGACAGTTTAGAACGTCTGTGCCCCCCAACCTGTAATACCTTCTCTAAGCTCCAAAATGCTCCCATTTACCTCTTCCCACCCACAGCCTTCTCTTGCCCAACCGAAGAAGCCCTGATTCCTTCCGGCTTTCCTCAGCCCTCTCAGAGCCTCCAGGCAGCCCCCACGGGCCTTCATGGAGCATACACTTCCCAAAGCTGAGAGGGAAAAAGAACAGACCCTGCTTTAAGCAAGTCCGACATGCAGACGTCTGGATAGCCAGATACAGGAAAGGAATGAGGCCAGTGTGTTGAGAGGGTCCGAGGGTCGGGGCCGGAGGATCCACAGAGGTCACAGGTTATTCCTCCTCTTACAGGGGATTGTTTGTGCTGCACAGGTAGTCTTTGCTTTCCTGAAGGCTCTTCCCCTCACACAAGGACTCTCCACTCTACCCAAGGATCTCCCTCTTGCAGAGGGTTCCCCACAGCTTTCCCAAGGACAGCAGGCTGTACTCAGGCATCATAACTCCCAGTGTCTTGGGCTCATGGTAGTGAAGAGAAGAGAGGGACGTGGACACAAAGCTGCCTCCTTCCCTTCTCTGGAGCATCCTTGGAGAATCAAGCCGCCCCCGAACCGCAGCTGGGAATGTCCTCTCCCCTCTGAGCTAAGGGCTAAGGGCAGAAGGGTGGTGCAGGCCAGCAGGAAGGTGGAAGATGCCTCAGTGTGTGCCTGCCCGTGTGTGTCTGGGAGGGGATCCCCAGGAAGGTCCCCCTCCTACGGGGGCAGCCCGAACCAGCTGGATCTGCTTTCTCTTGGCAGGAGGCTGGCCCGCTCCACACTGCTGCTCATACCCCTCTTCGGAATCCACTACACGGTGTTCGCCTTCTCACCAGAGAATGTCAGCAAGAGGGAGAGACTCGTGTTTGAGCTGGGACTGGGTTCCTTCCAGGTATGAGGAGGGGAGGCAGAAGAGCGCGTTCTATTCCCACCTCTGTGCCAACCTGCCACGTGACCTTGGGCAGTCAGTCAGTCAGGAAGCCCTGATCATACGCCTACTAATGCTAGACACTGTGGATACAGAGAAAGGCAAAAGACGGCCCCTGTCCTTAAGGGGCTTATGTCCAGTGGGAGAGATAACAAGCAATCAGCTGGGTACAAACGATACAGATGAGATGAATGAAGGTACCTGGCAGAGGGAGGGCACTCACATTAAGAGGGATTCCAAAAGGCTTGCTCTAGGAGGCCGGGGAGGTCAGTGGTCAGAGCCGAGGAGGGAGAGCATTCTGGGCCTGGGGGCCACCAGAGAGAATCCCAGGAGCTCAGAGGTGGGAGGTCTTATTCATAGAACACCCAGGAGGCCAGGGAGGTCAGTGGTCAGAATAGACCAGGGAGGATGTTCCAGGCCTGGGAGATACTAGAGAGAGCACATGGAGCCCAGAGATGGAGGATCTTATTTGTGAAACGCCCAGGAGGCCATGGTCACTGGACTGAGGAGTATATGGAGCGAGGGAGGTGTCAGAAGACCGGAAGAGGTTGGGGGATGGGGCAGGTTATGGAGGGCTTTGAATGCCAAACAGAATTCCACTGATGTTCTCTGGGCCTTAGCTTCCTCAAATTAAGAGGCTGGATCAGGCAGCCTCTGGGATCCCTCTCAGTCCCAGGATTTTGAGATTGTAGAAGGAGGAACAGACCTCCTGGAAAAGCCTGCTTGTGGAGGGGGATGATGTAAATGACGAAGGTGAGCAGGGAGTGATGGCCAAATCACATAAAGCCCACAGAATGCCCATATTTATGGAACAAAGACTACCCCTGACCCCCGACACTCCCATCATCTGTACCCCATTGTCCCTCATGTGGGTTTTCCAAGCTGCATCAGGGCCCCCCAAAGAACCACATCCAGACGAACTTTCTTGCTGTCAATGAAGGAGAAGAAAACCCCCCCCTCAAAAGGGGCATCTCCCTTCATCTTTTCTGAAAGAAAGTATCTGTCCCTTCCTAGAGTGAGGCTCTGCAAACCTCTGGACACTTCCATTACTTGGTCCTGGACCACGATTTCCAGCCTCTCTGCCCACATTTGCATCGATGGAACTCAGTAGCAATAGAGACTTTGACGTTCAGAGGACCATGTTGAGGTCTGGATGGATTGTGCAGCCTCTTCATCCACCTGGCTGGAAAGTTGTAGCATCTTCCTAGAAGTCTTCCACATTATGCCCAGAAGCAGGGAGAGACTTAAGGCAGGCAAACCCTACAGCAGCCATTGCTATAGTCCAGGCGGGAAGGGATGAGGGCCTGGGTGGGGTCAGGGTCAGAGGAGAGAAGTGGGTGTATTAGAGAGATGAGGTGAAATCGACCAGAGGTGCTGCAGAGGTGGAATCAACCAGAGATGCTGCAGAGGTGGAATCAACCAGAGATGCTGCAGAGGTGGAATCAACCAGAGGTGCTGCAGAGGTGGAATCAGCAAGAGATGCTGCAGAGGTGAAATCAACCAGAGATGCTGCAGAGGTGGAATCAGCAAGAGATGCTGCAGAGGTGAAATCAACCAGAGATGCTGCAGAGGTGGAATCAGCAAGAGATGCTGCAGAGGTGGAATCAACCAGAGATGCTGCAGAGGTGGAATCAACCAGAGGTGCTGCAGAGGTGGAATCAGCAAGAAGTGCTGCAGAGGTGGAATCCACCAGAGGTGCTGCAGAGGTGAAATCAGCAAGAGATGTTGCAGAGGTGAAACTGACCAGAAATGGTGCAGAGGTGAAATAAGCAAGAGATGTTGCAGAGGTGAAACTGACCAGAAATGGTGCAGAGGTGAAACTGACCAGAAATGGTGCAGAGGTGAAATTGACCAGGGATGCTGCAGAGGTGAAATCTACAGGCCTTGGCACCATATTGGATATGGGGGATAAGAGAGTGAGGAGTCCTAGGTTGGGATCCTGAGAGACTCGGAAGCTTGGAAGATGGTGGTGCCCTCAACAGTAATAGGGAAGATAGGTGGGGAGGGTTTAGGGGGGAAAATAATGAGTTCCATTTTGGATGCATTGTGTGTAAGATGTCTATGGAACATCCAGTTTGAGATGTCTGAAAGGTAGTTGGAGATGTGGCATTGAAGGTAAGCAAACAAGTTAGAGGTAGACAATTGGAACTGAGAATCCTCAGCATAGAGATAGTAATTAAATCCATGGGAGCTGATGAGATTGCCAAGTGAAGCAGAATAGAGGGAAAAGAGAAGAGGACATCAGACATAACCTTGAGAGATACCTATGGGTAAGAGGGTATGATCTGGAGGAAGATCCAGCAAAGGAGACAGAAGAGACGTCATCAGAGAGGGAGGAGGAGAGCCAATGGAGAGGGGGGTCTTGAAAAGTGAGAGAGAAGAGAATATCAAGGGGAGTGCCCAAGGCTGTAGAGAGACCAAGGAGAATGAGGGCTGAGAAAAGTCCATTGGACCTGGCAACCTGGATGTGATTTTCTCCCAAGTTGTTTAGATTACTTGGATTCTTTGGATTGCAGTAGGTAGAGACTGTGAAGCTGAGTGAAGTGAGATCACTGGTGACTTTGGGGAGAAGTTTCAGTTGAATGATAAAATCAGAACCCAGACTGTAGAGTTAAGAGAGGGAGAGGAAAGAAAGTGGAGACACCACTTTTAGACGCTTCTCAAGTTTAGCCACAGAAGAGAAGAGAGATGTGGGATTTATAACTGGTGGGGGTGGATGCCTCAAACGAGGGTTTTTGGAAGATGAGAAAGACATGGGAATGTTTGTAGGCAGAAGGGAAGCAGCCAGTAGAGAAGGAGAAATTGAAGATAAGTCAGAGAATGGACCATAGAGGGGGGGCAGTTTGCTAGAGAAGACAAGCTAGAATGGGATCACTATAGAGAGGAGTTAGTCTAATTAATAATAATAATAACTAACATCTATATAGCCCTTACTATGTGCCAGGCACTGTGCTAAGCCCTTTAGAATTATGATCTCATTTGATCCTTACAACAACCCTGGGAGGGAGGGGCTATTATCGTCCTTATTTCACAGATGAGGACATTGAAGCAAACAGAGGTTAAGTGACTTACCCAGGGTTACATAGCTAGTAAGTATGTGAGGCTGGATTTGAACTCAGGTCCTGGCCTCTTCCTTGTACTAGACAGAGGTAAAAGAGAAGATAATGGCAGAAGGCATCTGGGTGAAGTGAGATTAGCAGAAACAGGAGCCTTAGTAAATGGCCTCATTTTTTTTTCAGTGAAATACGAGGCAAGGTTCTCAACTGAGGAGGAGGAGGGGAGGAGAAGTCATGGGAAGTTTGAGGAGAGATGAGAGGTTTAGAAGAGCTTCTGTGCAGACTGGGACAGGAAATCAGTCAGGCAACTGTAAAAGGATTGCCTGGTAGCAGCAAAGGCCCGGCTGAGGTGCTATGATACAGATTTATAGGGGACCCAATCAGGATGGTCTTCTCCAGCCTCATTCAGCAGTACATGAGTCAAGGCAGAATACGGCAGGAGTGACTTGAGACCGAGGCAGAGCAGGGTACAGTCGGTGGTATGAAAGGGGGACAAGGGGCTCATGAGAAGGGGCAGGCAGTGTCGTCTAGGAAGGCTTTGGGAACCATTTCACCAAGATGCTTAGAAAGAAGGCCAGGCCTGTGGGGACCATGAGAGAGAATGAGTCCATGGAGAAAGAGGGTCCAGAAGGGAGGGAAGAGACCCCTCCCCAAGGCTGAATCTGTACATAAAAAGCAGAGCAGGAGGGCGAGGACTATGGCAGAAGACGGGGAACAGAAGGAATGAGGACGCATAGGAGAGCAGCGTCACAGGAGCGCGTGTTTCTGGGCCTTCTCAGTCCTCTGGTCCTCCTGTGACACTTGGGGAAGGGTCTGCTTCTCCCCGCACCGTATTTGAGTAATGCTTCTCCTCTCTTCTCCCCTCTGCCCTCCCACCCCCTCCCCTCTTGGTCCCTTCTCTCCGCCCAGGGTTTCGTGGTGGCTGTCCTCTACTGCTTCCTGAATGGGGAGGTGAGTTCTGGCTTTCTGGCCACTCGCTGGCCTTGCCAAGGTTGGGGGGGGTGAGCCCCTGAAGACTGGCCCCCTCCCCCACTAAAGTTGCCCTTAGATTCTCCTTCTTTGGGGCTGAAACTTCATCCTCTGCTAGAGTGAATGCCTTTGGCCCTGAGAGGGACGGCACAGAAAGCGACTCAGTCCCCAGCTTCTCAGTGAACGGTGCTAACAAAAACAACACGTAGAGGACACGGGCCATGGATATGGAGAAAAGCTCCTTAACCCGGTGCCCAGGGAGACTTCCCGAATTAAGCTGCCTACAAGCGGATGCCAACTCTGACATGAGTGGCTCTGTGGATTTGGTGAAGGGGTTACAAGGTAGGGATTGGAAGCCTGCAGTTAGAGGCACCAGCAGTTGACAGGCATGAGTCCCACCCACTGGGATGGGCCTCTGGGGACAAGGCTAACCAGGGCTCCCCACTGTGGGGCCAAGCCCCAGGCCCCCTTTTTTGACCCTTCTTCCTCCTGAGAAAGGAGGGAGAGTGTGAAAGAGAATGGGTGCCTGAGTGCCAAGAGAAACTACAGAGGGGAACAGAAAGAGGGAGAAGGGGGGGCAAGGCCCCAGTTTTGGTGTTCCCAAACCCAAGAAGCAATGACTAATTCTTTGCTCAATCAAATACTTTTTCTGTATCTCTCCATGTGCCTGGTCCTGGCCTGGCACTGTGGGGGAGAAGGAAAGGATACCCCATTTGAGGAAGATCTTTGATAATTTGGAATGCATCCAAAAAAAGGGGACCCCTATTGCTGGGGGGGGTACCTAAAATCCTGCCACATGATTGGTTGAAAGAACTGAAAATGTAGATCTTAACAAGCCCCAAGGTGGGGCATGATAACCCACATCAGGGACTCCTACAGCGTGAGTTCCTGAGTCTCCAAGCATCTTCCAGCCAGTCAGCCAGCGGCTGGAACAGAGAAAGTGGGTGACAGACATGGTCCAAGGTTGAGTTAGTGGGATGGAGAGGTTCTAAGTTCAGAGGTCAGGGCTTAAAGTGGGTTATTGAAATGACTGACCTTGGGGTCAAGACTGGGAGGAAGGAAAAGGAGTCCAAAACAGATTTGTTAGTCTGGGAGAACGGAGGGATGAAGGTCCCTGAGTCAGAGTGACGATTAAGAATAGGCATGGTAGGCATGAGGGCAGAGAGAGCTGGAGGACGAGAGATTGTGAGAGTTCAAGGTCTTAGAAAAAAAGAAATTCCAGGAGACGATGAGGTCTAGAGTATGACCCTCCTGGTGCAGGGCAGAGGTAGAGTGGACACAGGGGCTCAGGAGATGTAGGTCATTCACAGAACTCCTAGGCTGTTCTGGTAGACACATTCCCAAGTGGTTTAAACCTTTTGTCATTATTTTAAATAGAATTTCCCTTTCTCTTCCTCTTGGGCTTTGTTGGCAACATACAAGAATGTTGATGATTTATGTAAATTTATTTTATATCCTATAACTGATGAATTATTGTTTCAATTAATGTTTATTTAACTCATTAAAGTAAGATACAGGTCACGGGAGGTAAAGATCATGGGAAACTTTGGTCATGGGAGAGAAAGGTCATGGGAAATAAAAACCATGGGAGACATGGGTCCTGGGATTTCAAGGAACCCTGAGCACATGGTTGGACCAAATTGGACATCGAAGTTTCCAAGGCTGATAGTGAGACATGTGGAGAGGAGGACCTTGCTCCAAGGGCCAAAGTCCTGGAGGAAAGTGGGAATGGTCAAGAGGCTGGCAGCTGACAGCGAGAAGGTCACCTGGCAAAGGGTAGTTCAGTCAGATGGCATGACATTCCAAGGAAAGGTTGCCGAATGATAGTAGAGAGAGACTCTAGAAGTAGCAGTGAGGATTGAGGGGTACAGCCCCCTCCTGCGAGGCCGATATCAGAGCAAAGTACCAGCCAGCATTTGAGAAGACGGCCAGAAACATGGTGTCCTCTGGGAAAAGTGAGGCTTCTGTTCATAGGGGGAGGAGCCAGTGGAGGTGGAAAAGAGCCCAGTTAAAGGAGGTTCTGAGGAATGCTCTCACCTGGAGCAGAGGTTGGGGACAGAGAGGAGCTCAGGTTGGAGAAGAGAGCGGAGCCAGCCCGGAGGGCCTCACATTCTAGGCAGAGGGCCTTAGCCACATAGGGAGGCTCTCCAAGGTTCTTGACAGGGGAAGCTGTGCTGTGAAAGCCTTTCCTGGTGCCTTGGAAGGCCTGGCTTCCCAGGGGCAGGAAGGAACCCACTCACACTGTTGCTCCACGTCCCCGGGCCTCCTGGCCCTTACTCTGTGGCCCAAGGTAGACGGGGCTTTCTCCTCTGCTCTTGGAGCTAAGCCAGGGGTCTCCAGGTTTGGCTTTCAGCATGGAGGTAAGCAGCAAGGTCCATAAAGAAATGACCTTTTGAAGTTTCTCCCTAAAGGTGCAGTCAGAAATAAAGAGGAAATGGCGGAGCTGGAAAGTCAACCGGTACTTTGCTGTGGATTTCAAGCACCGGCATCCCTCCCTGGCCAGCAGCGGGGTGAACGGGGGCACGCAGCTGTCCATTCTGAGCAAGAGCAGCTCACAGATCCGGATGTCCAGCGTCAATGCTGAGAACCTGGCCACCTGAACGGCGGTCCGGACGGCGGCCACGGCCACCCTCCCGTCCCGTTATAAAAATGAGTCGCATTGCGGGATTGGGGCTGGGAGGGAAGCGGGGAGGAGATGCCGGGGCTCCTCAGGATGTCTGAGGGGGTGTATGAGTGTGTCTGTGAGTGTGTGTATGGGTTGTGTGTCTGTCTGTCTGTGTCTCTGTATGTGTGAGCGTGTGCACGTACGTCTTTTTTTCTTGAATGAATGCTGTGTGTCTGAAAGCGCGAGCCTGGGAGCCCCGAGTCTTCAGAGAGGAGGATGCACTGCTTGTCATTTCTGAAGTGTTTTGTTTTTTCTCATGTTCCTTTCCCCAGTACCTTGTAAATAGAACTGCAGAGTTGGGAAGCCAGGTGTGCGCTCTCCCAGCTCTGACAGCACCCTGCCCATCAAGGCTTCATCCTCCCTCATTTCATGCAGCACCCTCGAGGGGAGGTGCAGGGGCCGGGGATCACCCACCTGCCCTCTTTGCCTCATCATGGATCCCCCTTGACTAGAGGACCCACAGGATGGGTAGGGAGACCTCCAGCTGACCTCAGCCTGTTCCCCTGCTAGGGGCCAAGTGCTCAGATCCCTGGGCTAAACTAGACCCCTCTTCAAAGTTTGCAATGATTGGGGCTCTCAGGATGGGGAGATAAGTCAAAAGAAAAATGGTGACTGTTCTTTGTTTCCCAATGGGGGTAGGGTATAATATGAGCAAAGGCACTGTGAAGGCATCCTCCAGCAAGGGGGATGAGGGGAGGGCTTTGGGGCGCTCCTCTCGGGGCAGAGGGGAGTCTCTGTGCCCCTCCCAACTCTGCCCCAGCTTGGTCCTGAGCAGAGGTCCCAAGACCACAAGCATGTGGGAAAGCGGGGGCCTGTACTGACCTGCCCACTACCTGGCATCTACATCTGTATCTTCTCCATGGATTTTCTCGGACTCCATCAGTACAACGTTGTTATCGATAGCCCTGCTTCTAAGCCCAGCCTCCTGTGCGTCTAAGGCACGGCCAGCTGGCCTGCCCACTTTTTTGTGATGTTCGTCAATCCCACAGGACCTCCTCCTGCACCAGCAGCTGAGCCTGAGGGAGAGCCCTGGGGCTGAGGGCTCTTGCCGCACAAAGGCCTGGCTCCCACAGCCCGGCTGCTGCTGGAATGACATGGGACCGGGGAGCACATGCAGAGGCAGAGCTGGTGCCCAGTTGCCACGTGAATGAGTGACCCAGAGCAGGCCTTTCCTAAGGCCCCTCCCTTCTCCCGCCTGGAGTTGGAGCCACATGTCGCTGTGCCCATTCAGAGAACAGAGGCCGCGACCACCCAACATCCCTCTCGGCTCCTCACGGTGCCAGCTGACGCGTCCCTCCTGGCTTTGGGCAGCAATTTAAATGAACAAAAGCCCAGGTCTCCAGGCTGTCCTTGGGACCTGCAGAAAGAAGGCTGAGGTGTTATCTGATGGTTTTCTTTAGGGGGGGGAGGGATTTTTCTGTCTTTCTTGGGAAGGGGAGGGCCTCTCACGGGACCAGGGCCTGTGGGACCACTTTGGGGAGAGCCAGGAGCCCATCTAGGATCTGGGGGCTGGAGGTGGAAGGAGACATTCCATCTGCCAGGAAAACCACCCCCAGGACTTTGGCTTAAACATCCCGCCCCCGGCTCCTCTCCACTCAACTTTTCTGAGGTGCCCAGAACAATTAGATCTTGGACAAGGCAAAGAGAGGGAAGGAGCACTAGACCAGAGCATCATGGTGCCATGGAGAGTGAACAGCCCATGGAGACAAAGGCCTGAGCTGGAATTCCTTCTCTGACACTTTTTAGAAGCACCTGGACAAGTCACCCCATTTCTTGGGCATCAACTGCCCCGATCATTAAAGAGGAAATTGGACCCTTCCAGCTCTGAGTCCTGTGATGGTTCCCTGGAAGTCCCAAAGACCAGGCCAGCTGTGCGAATGGGCAGAGCGTTCTAGGCCTGGCCCCTGGGTGCCGGCCCCCATGTGCCCTCTGTTTCTGGGGAACACGCGGGAGGGCCCCAACTTGTCCTGCTGAGCCCAGCAGGCAGCCTAGCCAGGAGACGATCCCCTGTGGGCCAGGCTGGCCCAGAAGGATGGTGCCCTTGGTCCCAGGCCTCTGCCTCTCCCCAGGCTTCTCCCCAAGGCATGGGAACACACCAATCCAATCGGCCTTCCTGTTCCCTTCTCAGACCCTATTGACGTCCCAAGCCCAGTGGGACGGGGCAGAGGGGACTGTAAGTCAGGGGGCCGGGCTATAGCCCCAGCTCTGCCCCTGGCTGTCTGCGCCTGTGGGTCCTCTTCTCGGTGAAGTAAGAGGAGGCACTCCCTTGTGCCTGTGGTCCCTCCTTCTCCTTCCAACATGCTGTGGTCTCTTAGCCAGCATCTAAGACCGGATGTGTACGTTGTAGGCAGGGGATCACAGGAACCTTCTGTTCAGGGGAGTGGGCGCCAGTTCCCGGCACTGGAACCACCATGCCCACGAGCTGCTGGGAGGCAACCTGGGGAGGGGATGAGACCCCCAAGCTGGAGTCTGGCCCTGCCCCCAATTCCGGGGCCTCAGTGTCCTTGCCTACAACACAGATGTAATGACACCTAGCAGCCTCACAGGCAGAGAAAGCGCTGGGCCTGGAATCAAGAAGATTTGGGTTCAGATCTCACCTCTGATCCTCAGCAGTTGTATGGTCCTGGACAAGTCGCCCAACCTTTCTGAGCCTTAGACGACTGCCTCGGACCTGTGTTGCTGAGGAAGATTCCAGCCGCTGGAGGTCACAGACCATTTCCTCAGCTGGATAATTCCTGGCCAATTTAATTCCAGGGGACCACCCCAGTTCTCTGCATGACTGCCATGGGTACCAGCAGGCTTGGCCTCAAGGATGAGAAAGGAGCTGGATGGGGGCAGAAGGAGAGAGATCCAGAGAGCTGATGGGCCAGCCAAGGCTGGAGCCCTAGCCCCCTTCCTCTGGGGGCCCCTGCCCCACTGCTGCCCACCAGCTCCCACTCTCTCCTCAGAATGGCGTCTGTGGAGAGGACAGAGGACCCGTCACCACTGCTCCTTGGCCTTGGCTGTGGATGAAGAAGAGGCCTTGGGGTGTCCGGACCTGCTTCCAACACTAACCAACTAGCTGGACCTTGAAAAAGTCACTTAACCAACCTGTCTGAGCCTCGTCTGCAAAATGGGGCTGGAGAATAACACCCGCCCTGGTAACGCACAGGCTTGTTAGAGGACCCAGTGAACTAAATCCCTGTGCTTTTGGAGTCCCCCAGTTCCCAGAAGCCCCTCTCTGTCGTTGTTAATGGTCAAGTGCTCACTGGCGCTGGGGCCGGAAAATTGTGCCCCCGCCCGACCTTGGAGCTTTGCCAGGCTTGGAGGTTGGGGAGCGCTGGAGTCCGTAAGAGCCCAGGATGCCCTTCCCATTCCTGCCCCATGGATGAGGCCTGGAACGATTCATCATTGGGAAGTTCCTCAGCCATGGAACCCAGGACGACTCCAGCAGCAGCTGGGAGGGGCAGGGGGAGTCTGGGGGTCTGGGCGGCCATTCTTGGGTCAGGTTGCCTACCCTCATCTTTGTGAATAACTTCTTACTTCTCTATCTGGAGGGGAGGACATTTCCACAGCGCATTCCCATGAGGGGCTCCGGGTGGATGGATAAGGACACTCCCCCAGTCACCTCAGACCACAGACGGGGTGAGAGGACCTTCTGGGAAATGCCCCGGGGGTCTGTGGGGGGACCCCTCTCCTCACTCTCTTTCTCCACCCCAGACCCCTGTCTCCGTCCTGTTCAGTGGATGTCTGTCTTGTTGTGTTTGGATTTCCATGAGGGTTGGGGTCATCTTGGGCATCTAGCTTTGGTCCCCTGGCTGGGGGGCCTGGGTAGGGGTGGGGTCGCCTGTCTGTGTTGATGTCAAACTCTGGGGCCCCGCTACAACCTCCTGGATGAACTCTGCTCACTTGCCAGTGATGCTGGGCTCTCCAAGGTGCCACCCTTCTGTAGATGGTTCAATAAATGTCTTCTCATTTCCACCTGGGTCCTGTGTCCTGCAGCTGATCTAGGGGTGCTCAGGAGAGGTGTGAGAGGGCCTCAAACACAGGCAGAATCTCACAGAGATTTGTTGAGTTAGTCAATAAACATGTATTAATCACCTACTATGTGCCGAGAACTATGCTAAGTGAGGGGGATACAAAAAGAGGCAGAAGATGGTCCCTGCCCTCGAGGAGCTTGCAATCTAATGGGGGAGACAATGTGCAAACCAATATGTACAAAACAGATTATGGGCAGATTATGAATAGGAAATAATGAACAGAGGGAAGACACTGGAATCCAGAGGGCCTGCGGAAGGCTTCTCACCTGGAGGAGGTGGCATTTCAGCTGGGCCTTGAAGGAAGCCCGAGAGGTCAGTGGTCAGAGTGAAGGAGGCAGAGCCTTCCAGGCTTAGGTGATGGCCAGGGAGAAGGCCCAGAGGCCCGAGCCTGAGGCTTTCGTTCATGGAACAGTCAGGAGGCCAGTGCCACTGCACTGGAGAGGACTCGTCCTGTCGGGGCAGCGAAGTGTGAGAAGGCTGGAAAGGGAGGAGGGGGCTGGGCAGGAAGGGCTTCAAAGGCCAGACAGAGTGCCGGTCCATGGAGAGACTTCTTTCTCTGTGGGGGTGGATTTTTGTTTGTTTGTGGGGTCCACCTACAGGAGGGGAGGGAGAATAAAGGGGAAAGGGGAAGGAAGGTGGAGGCAAAGGCGGGATGTGCCCCGGGGCTGACAAGGAAAGCAACCCTTGGAGCTTCTCAGGAGGAAGGGAGCCCACAAGCAAAGGGGTGAGCAGGCCAAGGAGGGATGAGCCGAAGGGCGAAACCTTGTCTGGGAGAGGGGATGAGCTGCCACCGGTGCAGACCCCTGTGAGAGAAAAGACTTTCTATCAAGGGAGATGAGGCGGTTACAGTGGGCCTGATCTGGGGGGCTTGGGGCTTAGAGAGACCCCTCCTCCTGCCTCAGGGGAAGGGGACCGG